GGAGAGCAAGGGAGCGTGGGTGTCACCAGTATGAGAGTAGGAAGATGAGCTCATTGTGGGGTAGGGGGAGCAAGCACAAGGCCTCTGCAGCCACAGGCTCACCCACAAGAAAGACAAGCTCTTGAAGAAGGTGCAAGGAGAAAGGCTGAGAGGTAGGAGGAAACTCAGCAATGAGGGCTTCATAAGACATCAAAAGGAACACAGGGCTTGAGGCAGTCAAGAGAGGTCAGCAGGGCATAGACTTCAAGGAGGCCAAGTTAGCTGAAGGCAGAGATGGATGGCTGTACAGTATTTGAGGACTAGGAGGTCATTTACTGGCTACATCTGGAGAGGTCAGAAGGGGGAACTGATCCCAGGCTATAGTGGGGGAGGGTTGAACAGTGATGAAGACTCTAGACAACTTTAGAGGAATGTGGCTGAGAGTAGGAGAGAACAGGAGAACAATGCCTAAGGAAAGGGACACGATTGAGATTACTGGGCTGGGATGAAGCTCAATGGTAGATCACTTGCCTAACATGCATGGGGCCCTGGGTTTGATCCCCAGCACCCCCCCTAAAAAAAAGATTGAGGTTGAGGTTTCCAGTGGGAGAGTGTTGTAGCTGGGAGCAGTAAGTGGTCCTTTGCTTTGTCTGCGGTGGCTTACACAGGGAGCTGACACCCACAAAGACATTTTCAGCGAAAAATTGCTTTGGTGAAGGGGTGTAGTAGGGTCTGGAATCCAGGTGAAAGGACTTGCCTTGGGCACGAAGGGGGCCACTGCGCCAGACACAAGGAATGGAGCAAGTGACCTAGTACCAGTATGAGCTGAGTGCAGGCAGAGCTTCCTGGGACTCTGCTGCCCCTGAGTTGGACCACCAAGGAACAGAGGTAGTAAGTGAATGCCTGGCTTCAGGAACCCCAGTACACTCAGAGGACAGAGTGTGAGTGCTCTTGGAAACTGCTGCTTGGCACCCTCCAACTCTGGACTGTCCCCCTATCTTCAAGTCCAGCACACATGGTCTTTCTTCCCTTCACAGCTGCACCCTCCCAAAAGGCCAGCAGATGGGGCTAGTGAGCTGCTGTACTATACTCCACGGGAGCAGCCAGGAGCCTCTTGCCAGCCCCAGATCCTAGTCCTCCAGAGTCTGCGAAACAGTGAGGATTTGGCTAACCAGTTTTCTGACCAAGGCGAGTTGGAGGTGGGACAAAAGGACAAAGAAAAACCGGGCTGAGGCCTTGGGGTGGGATGGCTCCAGGGGCTCTGCTCCTGGGGTGGGATAGATCCAGGGGCTCTGCTCCCTTTGGTTGCCCTTCATTGCTCTCCTCTGCTGGGTCTGTCTTATCTGCTGAGCGCCGGCCCCCTTTTCCCAGAGGCCCTAACCAGCCCAGACTCCTGGATCTGGCAGAGGCTGGTTGTCTGCCCCGAGGCAGGAACAACTTGGCACCAGGCCTCAGACAGGGCTGGGCCAGCCCCTCCCAGTTATGACTGCCTGAACCACCTTCTACTACCTGATGAGGGGAAGGGGTCAGTGGCTGATGAGGCCACAGCGGGCTGGGCATAGATCCTGGGGAGGAAAAGGCATGGCTCCCATCCTAGGAAATGGGATGAATGGTAGGGAGCTATATAATAATGTGGCAAAGAGCCCAGTCCCACCAAGACCCAAATCTCACAGTACTAATGGCTTCACCTGAGGTGGAATAACGTCCCAGAAGCTGAGCTCAAAATACTTCCTTCCCCATTCTACCCATCCTATACAGCCACAGGCAATTCCCACTACCCCATCCATTCCCTGGCAGTCTTTCTCTTCATCATGGGCTTCCTGATGAGTCAAGGTCCTTCATGATTCTTTCACAGGACAGGGTAGGACCCTGCTTCTCAGTTCCATTTTTTTTTTAATTGGTACCAGGGATTGAACTTGAGACCTTGTGCTTGTGAGGCAGGTGGCAGAACCACTGAGCTAAATCCCTGGCCCCTCAGTTCCATTCTTATCTTGCTTTCCTGCCTCTGACCCTCCACCCTTCCACTCTTGATCCCACTGTATCTCCCTACTTAGCCCTAAATGGAATCCTTAACGGGTGGAGACTGGGATGAGGTGAGTAGAGCAGGGTGTTTCAACCAACGCAGGCTCTACAACTCAAAGTAGAAAACCAGGCCAAAGGTGCTGGCCTCTGAGCCTGGGCATGGATTCAGGGCACAGGAGTCAGTGGATTTGGAAAAAGAATCTTTCCCTTGAGTTTCCAGAGACAGGATGACCCAGACCAAGGAAGAGAGAGGTACAGGAAACACACAACAAGCACACATGTATGCACATCATACACAGGGTCATAGCTTAGGGAACAACACAACCAATGGCACAGATAGGCCATGGAGCTCCATGGACATAAGTGCATACAAACACAGGTGCATAAAGTTTTACCAGGGATCATACACACCCTCCCCAGGAAAGTCCTGCCTTCCAGGCCAGGGCTAGCCTGTCATCCATACTTCCAGGAGGAGAGACAGGTGGAGGAACAGGAGTGGCTCTGGGTGGAGGACCCATCTCCACCCAGAGCCTCTCCCTTTAAATGAGTCTGGCTCACAGTCTGCTCCTTGAGTTCTCCCTGGCCCATCAAGGGGCCATGCCTGGGTTATAGAGAGGGCTTTGGAAGAGTCACTTTCACGAAACTCAGACACAGAGCCTGGCCACAGAAGAAAGAATGACCAGTGGGGCTGGGAACTGTGACAGGAGTCCATGAACTCTCAGGACTGGGCAAGGTCTGGAGGCTCAGCAGGAGCTGGGATCCCCCTTTACCTCAGCTTGCACCTACTCTCTTCAGCATAGGGCCTGGCACCCAGGTACTGGCACCAACTCCTAGTACCTGGCAGAGCCCTGGCATGCATGCTAGGCACGGGGTGCCAGAGACAGGGGTGGTCGAGGGTGGGGGCAGGCCACACACAAACAAGGACCTTCATACACAGACAAGGAAATGCAACCACACACCACTTATTTTATCACCTGGGGATTCCGAGGAGGAGGGCAGGGACCACCCTGTCCTAGTGGCTACCTTCACTAACTCCCCAGGTGTTCCTATTGGCCTGTTTCTTGGGAGCAAGGGGGAGGCAAAGGTCAGTGGAGGCCTAGAGGCTTTCTCTGAACCCCTCACTGATCCTCACACACATTTCTGTGGCAGGAGGCAGAGTTGTGCGTTTCCAGTGCCCGCCACGGAGAGAAAAAGCAAAGAGGAGCAGAGACTTCCAGTCCCCTGGCAAGGTCACCCTGCTTCCCCCAGGCCCCAGCCTAGAAGGGTTTTGCGGCCTCAAGCTGCTCAGTGTTCGGGCGTGCAAACCAGGGACCCGCGCACATGGCATGCGGGCGCGGGCCTGGCCAGTGGCGACAGCATGAGGGCCGGCTGGTCCCCCGAGGTGTTCCCGAAGGCCGGGCGGCCAAGGGGGTACTATCAATGTGAGGTGCTGAATGAAGTTGTGGGTGTCCTCAGGTGTCCCAAGCCAAGTGTGAGCAGGGTGTGTTTTTCACCTGGGGGCGGCAGCTCAGGGCCCTGGGGGTGTGGGTGGGGGTTCAGGGGTGAAGCGGATGCAGGGCACTCCGGCTGGGCCGACCAGCCCTGTCCTCAGCGCAGCCTGAGGCGAGCGGCTCCTCCTCTGGCAGCAACTTGGGACTTTGTTCCGGCTTATTTGAAAGCGGATCTGGCCGTGGGGGGGGCACCTGCCGGGCGTGGGGTGCCCGAGAAGTGTGAAAAAGCCCCACCCCTCCCCGCCTCCGCCCCGCCCTCGCTCCGCCCCCGGGGCGCTTTATAAGCTTGGTCCCCGGGCCAGCGGAGAAAGCGAGTGTCCTTCTCACCCGAGGCCAGGGTTCCCCTGCACCCTGCGCCCCGGGCTCGAGTCCCTCGCCTCGCTCCCAGCCCGGCCCCCGCCCCGCCCCACCCCAGCCTGCCCGGCCGCCATGGAGCGGTGGCCTTGGCCGTCGGGCGGCGCCTGGCTGCTCGTGGCGGCCCGTGCGCTGCTGCAGCTGCTTCGCGCAGACCTACGTTTGGGCAGCCCGTTGCTGGCGGCACTAGGGCTGCTGGCCGCGCTCGACTGGCTGTGCCAGCGCCTGCTGCCCCCACCGGCCGCACTCGCTGTTCTGGCTGCCACCGGGTGGATCACACTGTCCCGCCTGGCGCGCCCGCCGCGCCTGCCCGTGGCCACTCGCGCGGTGCTCATCACCGGTGAGTGCGCGGAGCGCGGGGATTCCAGGCAAGAGGGTGGGATCGCACACCTGGAGGGTTCCCCATAGGCATGGCCAGGGCGGGGCTCCTCAGAGCAGGAGTAAAGGAGTCCGACCCCCTTCCCCTGGGAGCAAAGGAGAAGCCAAGTCCGAAGCGCCGGGCACCTCCCCAAGTCCGGGTTAACTACCTGCCGCTGCTGCAAGTATTGGAGGAAAAGTGTAGAAGTAGGCAGTAGGCAGGTGCTCTAAGGAAACCGGGTGGCGCTAGGGTTTGATGGTTTATGTTATGCCTTTCGCCAAGAGAGCAGGCATGGGACATGGGACAGTGCTCTGAGGGACTTGGGAAGATCTGAGATGAAGGATAGTCATCCCTTGAACTCTGCTTGAAATCCCTACATGGGACACCCTGTATTCTATTCCCTGGGGCCAGAGGAAGGGGCTTACATGAGGAGCTGCACCCCCACCTCCAAACGTCTGGAATCCTCGAAGTTCAGAAAAGCTTGAGGTCACTACGGGGGCACTCAGCTGCCCCTTGGGCCCAGCCACCCCCTGCCAAACAGCTGAGGCAGCAGTCCATGGTGTGCACTTCACTCCCATCCCTTCTGGTCCTCAGTGCCCAGGAAATAGGTCTTGGAGAGCTAGGCTCAGGTGCCTCTGGCTGCCTGGCTGAGCTCCCTTTGTCCGGAGCAGGGGATAAATCTGTCACCAGAGGAAGGGAAGGGGAAGGGGGGCTGGAGACCCAGGCGGAAATGGGGAGGGGGAGAAAGGTCAGGGGGCATTGCATGGGGGGAGGGGTGGCCGAGTCTCTCCCCCAATTTCCCTAACTTTGGACAGGTGCTCTGAGCTCTGCCCTTACATACAGCCTGGATGGGGGACAGCTGGCAAACTGGCTTCTAAAAGACCTCAGTCCAGTAGGGGACCCTGCATGATCAGATGGGGCTAGAACTCCTTCAAGGGAAAATCCTTGAGCTGAAGGGTATGTGGAGACAGATGGATCAAAGAAAGGGTGTGGGACAAAGGCTTAAGGTAAGAATAAGCTTTGCCTGGGAGGGGACAGAATAACCAGTTTAGTTTAGCAGTGTGGTGGGATGTGAAGGTTCCTTGGGTGGGGCCTTGAATGGTAGTTAAAAAGCCAGGTGGTGCTGATGTGGGGGATGGTACGTAAGAGTAGAACGATGAGGACTTTAGGCTTCAGCAAAGAGGAAGGAGATGAAACAGGACTCAGGCTGAATGGGATTGACTTGAGTTCAGGGTGCAGCGGAGCCTCAGGGGATCTCAGTTTCAAGGGTTTGAGGAAGGAAAGCCACTAGATCTTCCCAGTATGAAGCAGGGACTAGGTTGTGCGATCTTCCCTCTCCTCCAGGACAGGACAGATCCCCTTCTGTCATCTAATTTGTGAGCTGCCTTAACAGGCCACCTGAAGGACTTCCTTCATTTCCGGTTGCAAAGCTCAGGGTGTAAGTGTAGGAAGAAGGCTGCCCATCCCATCCCTGTGTAAGCATCACCAGCGGGTTTGTAGCTTCCCAATGCCTGAAAACTCTAGGGTTTCCTCAGTCATCACACCTTCCTAGAGCACTGTGTCTTATGCCTGCCAGAGCTGCCACCCACCCTCCCTGAGAATGCCCCAGAACTGCTTGCCAAGGCCACTTCAAGAACTCAGCCATGGGGCCAGGGTTTGGGCTATGGCTGGATGCCCTGTGGGCATGCACTTGCACACCTTGCATGGATGGGGAGCAGGGGTTAAGCCCACATGAAAACATCCAGGCAAGTTGGAGGTATGTACAGGTATCTGAGGGTGAGCAAGAGGGTATGTAAAGTATGGATGACTATGTCGGGACTCCAGAGTTGAGGCTCTGGAAGGCCTTAGTTTCCCTGGAGAGGGTCTGTCTACTCTGGGAGGGAGCTGAGGCACACACATGTGTGCGAAAGTACACACACACACACACACACACTCACACAAGATGGCAATCCCCAGTCACACAAGGCCCAGCTCCAAGCTCCCTGCCCAGCTTTGTTCTGGGCCTCCACAGAGGGAGTGGGCAGAGATGGGAGCGGGTGCTGAGTGTCCAGGAGTCGGAAACAGAGCTGCTCCATAGCTTTTCTGCTCAGCAGGACCTCAGGGCTGGTGGCTAGTACTCCAGAGAGCCTCTTCCCTCACTGACCCTCCCCCTGCCCTTACTGGCCACCCACAGAGTCAGGAAGCTTGGTCCTAATCAGATAGGATGGACCCCTGCACCAGTCCTGTCTGGTGGTTCTCTCTGCATACCAAAGCACAGAAAGCAAGCCTCTGAGAATTTAAGTGCTGTGGCAGGCACAAGGTGGATGTGGGAAGGCATTCAAATGCAGGTCTGTTCTCATCTTCCCCCACCAGGGCACTGTCCTGGGGGCAAGTGGCCTGCAGCTCAGAAAATACCCCATTATTGTCACTGATTAGAATTCCCATTGTAAGGGGTCAGGAGTAAGGCGAAAATGGGCCTTCTGCTTGCCCAGAGACTGCAACAAGAGTAGGGAGTGCTGAGACTAGGAAGGGAGGGGGTCCTCAGGTTGGATAGGTCCTGAATGATGGTACCAGAGAACTTGGGCTTTGTCCTGAGGATTGAAGGGAGTCTTGGGAAAGTTTTCAGCAGCAGAGTGATACTGTCATTTTTGAAAAGATCCCTCTGGCTGCTTAGGTAGAGGATATATCTGGGGGCAAGACTGGACAGGACCACCAAGGAGGCTGCTTCAGCGTCCAGGTGAAGGAAGGGCAAGGGGACTCTGAAAGGAAGGGTAACACTGCATATGACCTCTGATCTAAATCAACCAGGGAGGACATCAGGAGTAGGATCAGGACATCACGAGTAGGATCAGGACATCAGACTGGGACTCAGGCCTACCTGGGATAGTCTTGACCTTTGTGCTGGCTGGGTGACTTTGGGAATCAAATTAGTATTACTAGGTCTCAGTTTTTTCTTTAAGTGAGGATTATAAACCATCTTTGATGGAGTAGCCATGGGGAGTCCAGGGAAATGACAGCTGTCAGAGTTGATGCTCAAGGCTCAGCTAGAAGGGCAAAGTCTGGCAGAGATGGGGAGGGGGAAGGAGGGAAGACTGTTGACTTTTGACTTTTGCTGGATTAAGAGTCCAGGGCCCTGGATGCCACCCACACCCTAGTGATCTTTGGGTTGTCTCAAGCTGCACTGGACCACTGTAGGAGTTCACTGACTGCTCTGCCCTGACCAGGCTGTGACACTGGTTTTGGCAAGGAGACAGCCAAGAAACTGGATGCTATGGGCTTCATGGTGCTGGCCACTGTGTTGGACCTGAATAGCCTCGGTGCCCTAGAGCTGCGTGCCTCCTGTTCCCCTCGCCTAAAGCTGCTGCAGATGGACCTGACCAAGCCAGAGGACATCAGCCATGTGCTGGAGTTCACCAAGGCCCACACCACCAGCACTGGTCAGACATGGCTTCCCTGGGGGAGGGCATGGCCAGGCAGGCATGAAAGAGCAGGGATTGCGGGGTTTTCTCTGGGCTGACCTAAAGCTTCACTCCCTGTCTCCCTGCCTTCAGGCCTCTGGGGTCTGGTCAACAATGCAGGCTTTAACGACATAGTGGCTGATGTGGAGCTGTCTCCAATGGCCAAATTCCGCAACTGCATGGAGGTGAACTTCTTTGGTGTACTTGCGCTAACCAAGGGACTTCTGCCACTTCTGCGCCGCTCAAGGGGTCGCATTGTGACGCTGGGCAGTCCAGCAGGTGAGTGCCATCCCCCTCAGGGACACAGCAGCAGAGGTGGGGTGGGGGAGGATTTGGGGAGCTCCTGGCCAAGGGTGATCTGCTTCACCCCCCCCCCTTTTTTGTTACTGGGGATTTGAACTCGGGTCCTTGCACTTTCGAGGCAGGGGGCAGCACCACTGAGCTAAATCCCCAGCTCACTCCCCATTTTATCCCCAGGAGACATGCCATATCCGTGCTTGGCAGCCTACGGAACTTCCAAGGCAGCCATAGTACTACTCATGGACTTATTTGGCTCTGAACTTCTTCCCTGGGGGATCAAGGTCAGCGTCATCCAGCCTGCCTGCTTCAAGACAGGTGAGGGTTAGGGCTATGGGTAGATCATGCATAGGGCCTGGAGCTGGGAAACGAGGGGGTGGGCATAATCTTATGGGGACAGGGATAGGTCTGAGAAACAGGCACAGCTTTGGCTGCAGGTGTAGACCAGTGGCCTCTGGCTCTCCTAGCTCACCACCCTCTGACCTTGCCACCCCTTCCCCAGAGTCAGTGATAAATGTGAACCTCTGGGAACAACGCAAAGAACTGCTGCTGGCCAACCTGCCCCAAGAGCTGCTACAGGCCTATGGTGAAGACTACATTGAGTACTCACACAAGCAATTCCTGAATTCACTCAGCAAGGCACTGCCTGACCTCAGCCCAGTTACAGATGCCATCACTGACGCGCTGCTGGCAGCTCGGCCGCGCCGCCGCTATTACCCAGGCCGCGGCATGGGGCTCATGTACTTCATTCACTACTACTTGCCAGAGAGCCTGCGGCGCCGCTTCCTGCAGACCTTTTTCATTGGTCCCCGGGTGCCCCGAGCACTGCAGCCCGGCCAGCCTGGCCTTACTCTTGCCCAGGATGCAACCCAGAACCCAAACCTGAACCCAGGCCCTTCCCCAGTGGTGGCTCGGTGAGCTATGGGCTAGCTACTCCAGCATATGAGGCTCCATGAGCCTTTGGCTCTCCCCTGGCCATTCTGAACCCCAGAGCCTAGCCTAACAAACTTCAGCTGCCCCACTCCCAATGCCCAGTCCAGGCCCAAGAGTCTGAGGATGTCCAGGGAGCTTCTAGGTCTCTACTACTTTGTAGGCCCATACAGACCCTCTTGAACACAATACTCTACGCTGCAGGCTGGAGAATCCATCTGGATGGGGAGTTTTGTGCAAGATTTAGCTATAGCCTTCATTGGGACCCTGCAGACAGTGTCTCTGCAAACTAAGAGTGACTGGTGCTCACTTCGGCAGCATACATACTAAAATTGGAACGATACAGAGATGATTAGCATGGCCCTTGCACAAGGATGACATGCAAATTCATGAAGCATTCCATATTTTTGTATATATTAAAAAAAAACAAAGAGTGGCTGGGTGGGTTGGGGACCCCCCTCAGGATTATTTCTTGGCACCAATGCCTCAGTGCTACAATTCCAGGGTGTCCCATCTGACTCTTGACTGGCTCAAGACTTAGGACCCCAGCTTCCCACTTCCAAGCCACAGGGAAGCTGTATACCTTACTTGCCTGATTGCTACTTTTTAAATAAAGATAAATTTTTATTTCTCCTAGAATGGAGGAGGTGCAGTGTTTGGAGGGGGTAACTGCTTGGTTACCTGATGACAGGATGTGGCTGTATGATATAGAGGAGGAGAACCAGGGCTCTGGGCACAGACCTGACTGGACTCCCCTGGCATACTCTGGTTCACATACTCCCTTCTCCGTTTACCTCAGGCAAATCATTTATACCTGTCTGGGTTTCTTCATAATGAAATGAGGATAATGATCATGATCACAGAGTTGTAGGGCTCAGTGAAACAATTAAAGAGAGTCCTGGAGGCCCCCAGGACCCAGCTCTGCAGGCCTTTCTCTGCATTTGAGCTCCACCAGAGTTAGGGGCTATCCTTTAGGTAATCCCCTGATCCTGAGGAATGTGGACTGCTGATTTCACAGAGTAAATTCAGCAAGGGTGATCATGAGGGAAGTTGGGGATCTGGGAGGGGTACTAGGACCCAAAGGAGGCAACAGACAGTGGACTTAGTGAGGGCAGTTTTATTGTCTCAGATCCAGAGCTGAGGGAGAACTACCTTCCCCATGCCCCAAGGATACACGTATTCTATCTTTCCCATGGGCCACAGCTCTGGGAAAGGAAGGTCTTACTGCCCCCAGGGTTTTCAGGTTAGGGAGGGACATGAAGGTGACCACATGCTTCTCAGACATGTCAGTGGCTGTAAACATAGGGCTGATGGGGCCTCATTGCTCTGAGGGCGTCTTGGTCCATTCTTGGTCAGGGAAGAAGTGCCCAACTCTTTTTCAGACCTAAAAGCAGTCCCAGATGGGGGTGGGGGTCAGGGAAGCTGCACAGCCCCTAGAATAATGTGCTACCCACCCGAGGGTAGGCAGGTGAGCCATGGGCTTCATCACAGCACACACAGACATACACAGTACACCTGGGACCCTTGGGTCAGGATGCTAGAAGATGGGGATGTAGTTGTCGATCTTGGCGCGATGGCGCTGGGCAATGCACTCAGCAATCCACACAATATTGCGACACTCCTGCTCCTTAAGCTTCACAAAGGCATAGAAGACTCCAAAGTGGAACTGGTTCAGGAATGCCAACTTGTTCAGTTTCACCTGTGGACAGAGGCAGGTGTGGTGTACAGGTGGCTGAGGCCAAAGGCAGCCCTTAGCCACCAACTCTTCCCTATGCTGGGCAGGCCCTGTGCTCACCTCATGCTCAAAGAATCGGTCCTCCAGGGTCTTGTCTCCAGGATTGCTCCCTGCACCCTCAAAAAGCAGTTTGTATTCCTGGCCAAGAACAGTTGGAAACATGAGCATGAACGTGCTGGTAGGTGCTTAGGGAAGGGGCACATGGTGCCAATATGGCCACCCACCATCCTGTCAGTCAGGGAACTCACCGGGTAGTAATCGGCCACATTCTTGACCTGTTCATAGTCATCAGCCCGAGCCAGCTGAGCCAGGCCCTCAGGGTAGAGGCGTCCACAGTGAGGAAAGAGCTTGGCACGGTCCTCCTTAGACAGCTCTGTGCCGAAAGAGTTGATGGTGATGATGAAGGCGCGACGGTCTGCTTCAAACTGCAGAGCAGTGCATAGGCAAGGAGAGAGGGAAGAAAAGGAAGCCTGAGCCAGTTGGCAGTTTCTTCCAGGGTAGGGCTAGTGGGGACCAGCAGGTAAGAGTGTGGGTAGACACTCACCTCCAGGATGGGGCACATGGCATCAGCTGTGGTCCCGCCCAGTAAGGTGCAGAACTTGTAGAAGGACTCCAGGTAGGCCTGTGCAGAGCATGGAGCTTGCTCAGTGTAAGCAGAGGGACTCTGCAAGGCTCCTACTCACAGCTTCCTCCTCCCCTCCCCAACCTCTTCCATGGTAGGGACTGGCCATGGCAATTCTATGGCAAAGCCCCTGAAACATCACCAATTCCAACAGTTAATCAGCCAAGCAGCAGTAGCCTGTTGCCTCCCAACTAGGAGTGACAGAACAGCCAACTGCCTGCTTCAGGGTGCATGTTCCCAACACCCTCTTCTCAGAGGACTGGCTCAGACAGACCTCTGTCTTCTCCCCTAAATCTCTCTTCCTCAGCCTCAGAGATGGCCTGGAATAAGTGCCCTGGCCATGGCTGCATCCTACCTTGCAAAACACCTCCTCCTACCACCCCACAGGCTGCTCCTAGGGATCACTGAGCAGGAACCAAATTGTCAGGCCAGTTTGTGATAAAGAATGGCTATTGCCTATGCAGACGTCAGCCTCACAGTACAATGGCTGGGCACACAGGCTACTAGTGGGAACAAGTACTTCCTGCCCAGGCAAATTGAATCTGCTGGGCATGAGGGAAGGACAGGTCAGTCCAGGCTCCAGGTCCTTCCTAACACTCATTCACAAAGTCAGCCAGGTTTCTTTCCCTACACCTGTTCATCATGGTCCTACAGGCCCCACTTAAGACTCCCAGGACCTATTCTGTGGCTTGGTTCCAGAAACTCTGGCTCCACAGATAGAATCTATTCTTTTGAGTTGGAAGAGGGGCCTGGGAAGCATGAAAAGCTTTCTACACTGAGGTCTGCCTTCCAGACTGACTTAGATTCATAGGCTCTGCTATTCCAAGAGATGAGACAAGACCCAGGTTTCCATGTGCCCAGGCCTAGCACAGCTAACAACATTGAGTAAGCTGAGCCTCAGGGTAGAACTTGAGGGTGACTACAGGAAACAAAAGACTAGGACAGGTTAGGAGTAAGCAGCCTGGAGGGGAGAATAGAGTCCAGGATAAAGGACTGCCAAGAATCAGAGACAGATGCCACCCCCACTACCATAACTTGGAGGTGCTTCTTGGTCCCTCCAGGAGTCAGTCCCTTGGGACCAGACAAGCTGGCTATATTGAGAACCCAAGACCTACACTTTTGGGGCCTGCAGTTCCTATCTGGGGGGCGGGGTAGGGATCACCAGTCAAGTCTTGGATTCCATACCTGCTATCTATCCATTTGCTCGCCAGAGAGGCTGACCTCAGGGTTGGGAAGCATGCAGGACAGGCCCTCTTCTGGCAGGTAGGGCAACTAAAGAAACTGGCAAGACCCAGGTTCCAAGGTCACCTCCCCACCTCCCCACCTCCGCCCTGTCCCCTGGAGTCTGGCAGCTCATGGTTGCTGCACTAGCTGCTTACAGTTCCCATGTATCAGGCGGCTGAGGGTCCACCTAATCTTTCATCTGTGGCCATCGGGCTGGGACATCGCTTGTGGGCAGGCGGTCCTGGCACAGGGCCTGAAGTGTTGGGTCAGTGTTTACAAGCAGGTGCCTCAGCAGCTCTTGCCAGTGACTCCAGTTAAAACCAGTTAGGGCTGGTGAGGCTGTGGGTGAGGCTGGGGGGACAGCCACACCCCTTACCCTGTCTCGGGGCAAGGAACACGGCAACAGGCCAGCTGGGTGGGCGGGAGCACAAGGACAGCATGTGTGTGTGTGTGTGCGCGTGTGTGTGCGTGTGCATGCCTCCACACATTTTCTGTCTGTCTCTCTTTCTCTCCCTCCCCTTACTAAGTTGGCTTCCCTCCATATTAGCAGGGTGGGTGGGAATCCTCACTTTTGCAAACAAGCTGAGCCAGGTGTGATCCCTTGTGCTGCCAGTGACTTACTTTAGACAACCATCCCATTTCTCTGAGCCTTTAGTTTCTTCATTTTACAAATGGGGACAATTGTGCCTAAAATGCCAAAGGAGGGCCAGAGATTGAGCTCAGTGGCGCCACGGCTGCCTCACAAGTGCAAGGTCCTGAGTTCCATCCCCAGTACCAAAAAAACCCAAAAACAGGGGCCGGGGATTTAGCTCAGTGGTTTCGCCACCTGCTGTGCAAGCGGAAGGACCTGAGTTCAATCTCCGGTACCAAAAAAAAAAACAAAACCCAAAAACATGGCAGGAGTGTCTGGAAGATGAAAGTGGTGGATGACCTTTCTGTCTCTCCTCTGCCCTCCATGTTAGACCCACAGGGGGTTTTCTCAGCATACTCCACTATGCTGGAAACTTTCCCTCCTGACCCTGCCTACAGGGCAAAACAAACTTCTGAGCTAGCATTCAAGTCCCTGGGTGACTTGACTCTGGGGCTACCTCTTCCTCCAAAGCTCTCTCCTACTATCCAGATGGAACCTGTACTTCCACAGCGAACCACTTGCAACCTGGCTCATGTTCCAGGCCTTCCTTCTGGATATGCTATTCCCCTGCCCACACCATCACAACCTCCAGGCAGGGCCTTCACCTACCACCATACTCTCACTGCACACTGGCCCAGGCCTCTGGAGGCCCCAGGCTCAGGCTGAGCTGAATGTTAGCCAGCTAGCTCTGACAAGGGAGGAGACTGCCCTCACTGTGGAGACTGGATAGATGGATGTTCTTGGGGTTAGGTCAGCAGGTCTCCTGGCCAGGTCTACATGTCTCTTGGCCAGCAGGTCCCTTGCCCAGTGCCCCCCTTCAAGGCATATCCACTGCTGATCCATGTTCCAGAATATAGCCCACCACACCTCAGTACCTCACACCAGCCAGAACTCAATCTGCCCCAAACATACCAAACTGGACCCTGACTCTTAACCACTTCAGACCAGGGCAGTGCTAACCCAGGAATCCCAAGCCCACCCTCTATCCCCAGGGATCAGTCAGTCTATGCTAGAGCACAGCATGAAGCAGAAGGTGAATAGGGATAAGGACAGTGGGGTGTGGTTTTGATCTGGGCTTGGGGACCTAAAAAGGTCATATGGACCTGGCTATGCCTGGCTGGATCCCTCCTCCCACTATAACTGAAAAAACTGCTGCCTCTGCTCAAATGCCTCTCCTGGCTGGCAACAGCCCAGGTCAGGTAGGTCCAATGGCTATGGTCGGGGTGGCGGCTCCTGACCCTCCTGGATGCTGGGGGAGTGGCTGACCAGGAGCCAGCTCTGACAGGCCAACTGGTAGAGTGCCAGCCACTCCTGTTGATCTTATCTGAGCCCGCTGCAGGCACCAAAGGATAGAGAACCTGTTCCAGGCAACCTTGCACCCATCACAGGAGCCAGAGAGTGACTGGATAACCCCCGGGACAGGAGCCTGGTGCAGCTGTCCCAGCACCTCACAAAAATCACCATCCCACTCGACCCCATGTCACCTCCCGCCAACAGGCCAATCCCCCACTGCTCGTGCAGGGCTCTACCTTGTAGAGTGTGTTGCGGATGATCTCAATGTTCATCTCATCAAGGTCCTGTTCTGAGATGCAGTCTTGGAAAAAAGCCGCTGGGGAGGAAAGACCTGGGTGTGAGGGGTGCGCAAGTGGCTTAGGCAAGAACCCTGCAGAGGCTCAACCACCCTCCAGGGCAGAGGGCCACTGCTGTAAGGCTCATTAGGCTAGGTATTAGGGGACCCCCAACCAGCCTGAGATATTGCTTTGGAAGTGGCAGAGTAATACTCTGGGCCACGCGCACTGACCTGAGCTTTTCCTGCCTCCTTGCTCTAAAATTGATTTATAAAGGAGGCGGCCAGCCATAACATGATCTAATCGCTGCTGGGGCCAACCCAAGTTCAGACCATGCCAAAGACAGGCTTGCATAAGAGGCCATGAGATGCTCCCTTCTCCAGGGGCAGCTGTGGAGTTGGGGCCTGACGCCCACAGTTGGAAAACTAGCCTCCTCCTTAGGACAAGGAATGAGAGCACCAGCTGAGTGGGCATGAACCAGTGACCCAGGGGGCTACTATGGGGCTGGAAGGAGAGGTCAGAGCAGGATAGAGCAGCCCCACTCCACCTAGAGGGCCTGCAGACTCAGTAGTCTGTCCAATTGAGAAACTATAGAAGCCACAAATAGCCCAGAGCTGGTTCAGAGTTGCTGAGAAAGTCAGATAGACTAGGTCAACAGGTACAGCTTGGACTTCTCTGCTTAGGGCCCTGGGTTCAACTCTGGTGGCTTCCTGAAGTGGGACCCTGGGGCTCAGGATTTTGGCTATGAGGGTACAAGCTGGTTACAGACTTCATCCTTCCTCTACAGCCTCCAGGGCAGGCAGAAGTCAGCACTGCCTAGGGCGGAGCCCTACAGGAAGCTCCTGATTCCCCTCCCTTCCTTGGCCTCTGACATGGACCCTGCATCCTGCTGACACTGTCTGACCTGCCCCTGGGACCTACCTGGTGGAGGAAAGTAAAACTGTTTGCTCCTGTGCCTCCTGGGCAGCCAGCTACTCTGGCTCTGCTTGGGGCCAGTGTCAGAGCTCCCAGGACTCCCAGGGACCCAAGCCCTTCTCTCTCTCCTCTCTATGAGCTCAGATCTCTTATTCTGGATCTTGAGAAACCAGACTATTTCCAAAGTTAGAATGTTCCAGTCTGACCCAGAGGGTCTGGCCCAGAAAAAAATAGGAAAGGAGAAGGAAGGGGGTAGGAGTGAGGAGGAGAGAGTGAAAGAGGGAAGCTGAGGGAAGGATAAAGGTCAACAGCAGTGGGAAGGTCTCATTTTCTGGCTCGGGGGCTGCCCCACCCCTGGCAGTCCACAAATCCCACATTAAGGACCTGACGCTAAGATACTGCCCAGCTTCTATTTTACTACAGCAGCTCACCCAGGGGCGTGTCCACCAGAATGGCATTGTAGAGCTCAGCAGGTGTCTGTGCGATGTTCACGGCTTCCATCTGTTCGAAGCTGCCTAGTGGGTGGCACTTGGGTACGAGCTCAGCAATGGAGCGGTGGTGCAGCGTGCCCGTGATGAGCAGGATCACATTGTCAATCATGTAGCTGTAACTGTGGGGAGCAGACAACAGCAGAGCAGCCCACTGGGGTAAGGACTTAGAAGGCCTGCCCAGCTTCATGCCCTTGACCCCGCCTTGCAAGGGCTACCAGCTCCTTTACAATGTATGCTTGCCCATAGGTGTTGCAGACAGGCGCTAAGAGCTCTATCCTTGGGTGGCTCCCTCTCCAAATTCCTCTCAAGATTCCAACCCTGTCCCCAGCACCAGAAGCACAAGACAGACATGGCCTCTCCCTTCCAGAGATGGATGATTCATCCCCCTTTGAGGGACTAGGACACAAGTAATACTCCCACAGTGTGAACAATGTTCTAACAGGACACAAGAATCATGGGCACATGGAGGTTAGGCAGGCAGCCTATCCCGGAGACAGGTGTGGTCAGGGGCCTGAGAGGTAAAAGGACTATGAGATGAAAGTGTGTTCTGGGAAGAGAAGACAATGTGTGCAAACGCCTGGAGGCATTCACTGAGTGAGGTCGCATTCGAGGAACTGAACATGGTCAGGACTGGCAGAAGGAGAGAAAAGGCAGAGCCATTAGCAGGAACTGCTGCCAGCAGGAGGGTACCTGGACGCTGGGCTTAGCCCAGGCTAGGGTCTTCATCTCAAGCACTGAGGATCTATTAGACAGATGTAAACAGGGAGTTTGGGAGACTCTGCCTCCTTGGGGGGAAGAGAGGAAAGGATGAGGAGGGGGTGGGAAGAAGCTTCCCCAGGAAATACCAAGGAGGAGCTGGTGGAGCCCCCTCTGGAATGAAGGTCTGAGTCAGGCAGACCTGCATAGCCCAGCTCCAAAAAGAGAAAAGCGTTTTCCTCCCTAGGGGCTGAGGCCAGGGGGCTGGATGATACTCAGGATTTGACAGGTTGGGCTTCCCTAGACTCCTCCAGGAGGCCAGCTCCAGAGAGTCAATGGGTAGCAAAGCGGGCCATGGAGCTGGGGAGAGTGGGGCCTCCCAGTTCAGACTTGGCAAAGGACAAAGCTCTGACTCTAACCAAACAACATGGCCCCAAAGGGACTAGGGCAGAGTTCTATGCAGTCATTTCTGGGGTGGGGTGGGGGAGATAAAAACAAGAGGGCCCCAGACACAAGCTGCAGTAGCCACAATTATCTTTCAGCCTGTCACCAGGGATGAACTCAGGGCACAAGACAGCTGCATGAGGCCTCAGGGGAATGTCCTCAAAGCCCAGGCTGGGGTCGTGGAAGGGTGAGAGCTAAGTGGAGGTTACTGCTCTGAGTTGGGCCCTGAGCACAGGTCTCATCCAGGTTTCTGGGTGGCCAAGAGGTAGACTCTTACCTTGTGATAGGATCACGAGCACCCAGTGCTGAGGCTGTGAGGGAAAGCCCTGGCAAGAGGAAGCCTCCAGTACCAAGGGACCAAAAGGAGGGAGGTAGTGGCCCAGGGATGGCTATTTGGGGTGCTCCCACCGGGCCCTCCAGGAAGGCAGCAAGAGGAGGCTCCAGCTCCTGTCCTGGTCTGAACCCTACTCCTCCTGCTTTCTGCGCACTCCCTCAGCTCCCACCCAGCCTGGCGCCCTGCTATGACCTCTGCTCTCCTGGGCCCAGGGCCAGGCAGCTGCCCTCTCTCCATCCTCAGTCTGGCTGGGTCAGCTACAGGATGTGCACTGAGAAGAGACATCCCCCCAGACTCAGGGCCTCAGGCAGAGCCCATTTGCAGCTGCAAGCCAAGAGGCCCATATGGCCAGCCTCATTTCCTCAACTCCATGGAGCTGGAAGGAAAGACTGCAGAGAACCCACCAGAGCTTTGTGCCTTGGCTTCCAGCTCCAGCCTGCACCTTCTCTGGGCAACACAGCCTCCTGCCCTTGACAACTCCTGCATCCATCTCACGTACCCCAGGATATGCCCACTACCCTTCAACACTGCACCTGCACCCCATTCAGCCCCACTGTAGCCATCACGCTCCCTGAGACAGCCACAAAGACCTGCCCCTGAGCCTACGGATGTTCTTTAATGCTTTCACGTCTTTCAGACATGGAGAAAGACAATGGTACATCCCTTGTACTCATGTTATCTGAGTGATTCCCCCAACAACTAGCCTCACTGTTAAGGCAGAAAGGCCCAGAGGGGGTCAGAACCAGGCCCTTTCACAACATAAGGCAGAGAAGCTCTGTTCCTACAGCTACTGTCCATATCTCTCCACCCATGTCCAACGCTCCATGCCCTGGCTCTCCACTCCTCATTAGCTTTGTTTTCTCAGAGGGATCCCTACAAGCTAGTCTCCTCTTTCTAAACCTCCCTCCTCCTTCCGCCCACTACTCAGGGTAACTGTTTAGGCTGAGGACAAGGCTGGAGTCAAGGCTCAAAGGAAGTGCCGTGGCACTTCTAAGGATCCTGGCCAGTCTCAGAGGAGGGCCCTGTGGGAAGACGCTGCTGTCTGGCTTACTGCTGTCCCTCTAGTGATGTGGAACAGGCCAGCTATGATTCACTTTTCAGCCCTGACAGCACATGTGGAGGAGGGTAGAACACCCCCCTTTTTGGTTCCCCTAAGCATCACTTGCTATAAGCCTTAGTAAGGCATAGAAGGAAATGCTAGGCCAAGCAAAGGGCCACTCACAATCATGCCACTCAACCCCATCCAAGGCCCCCTTCTATCCAAGCCAGGCCAGACTTGGATGATCCTGTGCCAGGCCCAGCACTTCCCTCCCTCTGGGCCAACTGCAAAGCTGTTGCAGCAGAGGGGTCAGAATCTTCTTTTCTGGGAGAAGGGAGGCAGGACAGGCTTGGATGATGTGGCCCAGCCACATACCTTCCTACAAGGCTGAGGCCTTCAGCAGGCAGGGAAACCCTCCTCCTCCTCGCCTGGCTTTAGCAGCTGCCTCCCTCCCCCCCCAGAGAGCCACTCCACCATTCTTCCCCTCACTTGGCCTCAGTAGGAGAGAATAAGGTTCCAGCTGGTCAGCGTCTCCCTCCAGGGGAAGACAGCTGGGGAGTGGATGGTCGACTGCTCACCAAGCCAAAGAGGCCCTTGTGGGGTGGGGGTTGGAGAGTCTATTCCTCTGCCCAGAGGCTCTCCTTTGCCCAGTGTCTCCCAAATGGGTGCCCAAAAGGCTCAGGATGGAGTTTAGGAAGCTACTTCCTCTAAGAAGCCTTTAGAGTCCCTAGTCAACTCTTCCTCTCCATGTGCCCTTTGGTGCCACCTGCTGGAGTGGCAAGGCTTTTCAGCCCTGGGGCAGACCTGGCACTGGCCATGATGACTGGGTTGAACCCCAGCCAGCAGTCTACTCACAGTCCCCACAAGGGGCTCCCATGAGCTGCTAGCATCTATGCTCAATTACATCAGGTTTCTAAAAAGCCTGTCCAGGGTAGAGTGGCATCAGCACACCACCTCTTCAGTCTTGGTTTCCCTTCTGGAATCAGAATAAATGAAGCATGCCATTTGACAGAGCTAGTGAGGCTCTGACCATCTCATTAAAATTTTTCTCCTCTTCAGAAGCCCAAGGGGACTTCCCCCAATTTGAGCATTAACCTTGAGCTCCTGGGTTCCCCCCGCCAGGTCCTCCCCTGAAGTCCAGAACAGTGTTAAGTGTTGGCTCTCCTTCAGGCAGTGGCCAAGTCTAGTCTAGGACCCAAAACCATAGCCGCAGGCTGCAGAGACCTGCAGTCCACCCAGAAACCAAGTTTGACTCAGCCAATGAGGGCTGGAGAGCAGGACAGGAAGGCCCATGGAAATCTGATGCCTTTCTGTGATCCACCAGGGTGCAAGGTGGGAGTGACAGGTCCTGGGGAGAATGGCAGTGTCACTGGGCACTTGAAGCCACTGTCCTGGAACAAAGCCTTCCTCAAGCTGCCCACTCCAGCTGGTGGCAGTGAGACCCCTGACACAGGAGAAATATGGGACCTCAGCTCCCTAAGTTGCTGCAGGTTTCCAGCTTGGCAGGTTTGTGCAGGTTTCCCATGCCCAGGCTGTCAATAGGCACCTCAGTTGCAGGTAGGTGCTACACACTGGGAAAGCTTCTGTCAGGAAGGCTCACTCATACAAGGACAGAGCCCTTTAGGGCCCAACTGGGAGTCCCCAGAGACCAGGCTCACTTCTCCCACAAGCAACTTTCCCAACTTCTTTTCTGATCCCAACTCTCCTACAGGAAAAAAAGGAATGATCCAGATCAAGTTCTCCTCAAGGCCCAAAAGCCCAAATAGAGGCTCTATCCCAAGATGCACAGAGTTAATGGCTGGGTCTGGCAGAAGCCCCTGGTACAATGACATATTTTGGTTTTTTGGGTTTTTTTGGTACCAGGCATCAAACTTGGGACCTTGCACTTGCGAGGCAGGTGCTGGAACCACTGAGCTAATACAATGACATATTAACATGTTAGCACCATGAAACTGAGCTGATTCATCTCAAGACTCCACACTGGCAGTCTACTTCAGGGGAACCTAGCTCACTTAGGCTGCTGGGCCTACACCAGGCAGCTGGCTTCACTATGACCACCCACTCTCTCAAATGACCTCTGCATCCCCACCTGATCCTGGAGTCTTCCCAATGCTGAGAAACCACCTGTGACCCCAGTCCTGTTTGCTGAGGCTGCCCAGGCCTCTCAAGGCTCTGTCTATACCATCACCCTATATCCATGCATTTCCTTCTGACCCTGGGTCTGGTCCAGAGCAGGTACTGGCTGTGTGTGTTGGCTGCAGGCTGGCTGGGATCTACACAAGCACTGGATACTGTCTCACATAGAAAGGCAGAGGAGGCCTTGACCAGCTTCTGTTTGCACACCTTTAGGAACAGGAAACTCAACATCTCCTGCAGAAGCCTGTTCTGGCCAACTGGGGCAGCTCTAAAGGTAGAGGGTCTCTGGGGGATGGAGTGAGCTCTACAGTCAACCTCTATCCCCAGCTGAGCCAGCTTTGTCTGTACACGGCAATAGCTCAGGATTGGTCTCTAGCCGATGCTTCTCCCTCCCGGAGGACTGTACTCTCCTCTTTGGTATGTCCTCTGGGCACTTCTAGAGTAGCTTTCTGTAGGGGTACAGGGTCAGACTCCATGTTCACCACTCAGAACATGTATAGTTCCCTCAACCTGGAGCCCCCTCTCCTAATTCTTTCCATAAAATACTTTTTTCCCTCAGCCAAGTAGCTGCCTCCTCAGGGCATGAATCCCTAGTCTGGGGAGCTCCCGGCACAGATCTCAAGGAAGGCTTTCCTTCTTTTCTGCAATACTTCTTATGCCTCGGATGACCTAATGGGGCAGAGTGGAGGAGGAAGAACAGTCAGGGAGATAGGTGTTAAGTGACAGAAAGAATATGAAGGGAGACTGCTGGGGGCTGGACACTATCCAGAAGCCAGGTCTGCAGACCATGGCTACATGAAGGCCAGGTGTGACCCACGCCAGGGCCTTGTTGTGGAGTGATGGGCTTCTGGAAGTTAACCAGAGGCTCGAGGGATAGAGTGGAGGTAACAGAACAGATAGGGAATGTGAAAGTTTAGGTCCCACAAGATGGGACTGTGATGGTGTTAAGAGATTTGGAGAATGGTGTTAGGAAGTAAAGGGAGGGATGTACAAGGCAAAGCGGCTGTCTAGACAGGTATGAGTGTTCACTCAGGGTCCAGGGAGTAGGGTAAGGGGTCTCAGAATTCTGGTGAAAGGGTCTCAGAGTAAGGAGGGTGCTTCTTCCATTGGAGTAGGGTTCAGGGGCAGAGTGCAGAAGCAGTGCTGAGAGGCATACTGGCTTCTATTGTCTTTCTGAAGAAGGAAGTGGGCCATCTGCCCAGAGAGGAGGCTGGGAGAGAAGGATGATGTTTAAGATGGGGAGATGGTCTTCTCACCATTGGTGGGAGGCTGCAGGATGCTGAGTTGGGACAGCAACTCCCAGGTTGGCCCCTGGGCAAAGACAAGCTGAAGCTAACTGACTGGGTGCACATGCAGGTCTGGCAGCAGGGATGACCCCTCCAGCCTAACAGCCGGCTTCCCCAGCTTTGCTCCCAGCAGTGGAGGTGGGGGTAGGGCAGCTCCAGGATGGAGGCTGCTGGGACTCCTCCAGGGCTGGGGGGCCGCCAGCTGGGTGGGACCATAAGTCCGGCGGCCAAGAGAGCAGCGGATGCTGGCAGAAGAGAGCTCGAATGATGAACCAGGGAACCTCAGCTGCAGAGGGCGGGAAATGAAGACAGAGGGGTAGGGTAGCAGGGGAAGTAGGGCCAGTGTCCTGCTGAGTCTGGAACCTGTGTCCCCCAAGGGACCAAAGAGTGGGTTGGAGAAATTAAGGTTGTTGGTAGAGAGGGGTGCCTGACTCAGCAATTTCAGGGGTGGAGCGGTTCCAGGTGGTGACAGGGCTTTGGGCAGCCATCAGTGGGGATGGCTGAACTGGAGAGCAGAGTAGCAGAAAAGCAGGTCATTGGAGATGACGGGGTCAGAGAACAAGCAGCCACAGACTCAGACAGGCTTACACGTGGTCGCTGAGCTCTCCCCAAGTGAGGGCAGGAGTAAGTGGACAAGAAGGCTGTAAGCCACAATCACCCATGAATGGAAGGGGCGGGGAAAGTGGTGGATTCAGACAGCCTGCCACAGGATAGTGCTTGGCTGTTTTAAATACACTTGGTGCTTGCAGCCAACCTACAGGAAAGAGCTGGCGGCAGCTCTGTCTTAGACCTGCTCAGAGCCCTCTTTAGTTTTGTGGCCTGGCAGGCTGACACCAAGACAGACAGGGGGCTAGATGCACAGGCAGGTGGGCAAGTGGGCAGCAAGAAAGATGAAATCTACCCTCTGACCACTGGCATGGGGTCAGGCTTCCCCTGGCTAGCCTAGCTGGCAAGACCGGAACATTCACCAGGAAGCTGAAAGAGCCTTGTGCAAATAAACTGAAGATAAAGGCTGGGCTCTGGCAATAAATGGACTGCTTCCTGGTATATCCTCGGTTCTGGCCTTGGAACAGGGGACACACAGACCCAGGCCAAGGGTTGGGTGAAAGATGGCACATTGCAGTGTAACCTCCATCTCCCATGCAATAGCATGGGACATACTCCATCTCTAGCCTCTTGCCCCAGGAGGTGTGTGCCAATGTGCCAATAGGGACCAAGGCAGTGTGGGTATGGGCCTAGCGAGGACAGCAAGAAGACTGGCAAAGGAGGCCTATGGCCAGGAGAGGGCCTGCTTCCCAGCTTGGGCAGGTTTCCTGAGCCCTGTAGGTATCCCAGCCTGTGGCTTTTACCTGAGGATGGAATCCTCTGCCTAAAGCCCCTGTTTGAGCAAGTAGATCTTGTGTCAGTGGCTACTCCTTGGAGGTAGCAATCAGGCCAGAGGGCAGGCATCTAACCGTACCCCTACAGGGAGGTGTGCCTGTTCTTAAGGAAGAGGGTAGGAACACCATAATCAGGGAATGGAAAAAGCTAGACAACACCCAGAAGAGTGCAGGGAAACGCCTCTCTAGAACACCACTCACGTGCTACCAATGCAGAGCATGCTCACAGAGACTGAACACTGATTATGCCTCTGCTCATGACCTGCATGGAGCAGCCACCTGGCCTAGGGCTATTTCTTTGTCCACCGGGTCTTGGCTCATGGTTCCTGTGCCACCCCTGCAGATGGAGCCTCTCTACCTCCCTGTGCACATATGGTATATAGAAAGTCCAAGTGCCCTCCTTCAACCTGTAGGTCTCAGGGTCCTCTCCTTGACTCAGCTTCACAAGGAACTTAGTGCAAGGAGAGTAACCCCACCCTCAGCCCCCAAAGAGTCATGATAGAGAAACTTGGCCAAGGGTTATAAACAGGGGCACCCACCTGGAGGCTTGGGCCAGAACTGGGAAAGACAGCAGGGCGTTCAACCCTCCCTAATCCATACCCTTACCCCATCTCCCTGAAACTGTGGCTATGATTAGATGGAGAGTGGACAGATTAGAGAATGGACCTCAGCCCAGACAGAGCCAGAGGGCCTGGATAGCCTATCCTAACAACCAGTCTCTTCAAAGCTCTGTTCACATCCTGAACCTTGGTGTCAGCATGGGAGACTGGGTCTGGTGAGTGTTCAGTGTGGATGCTGCAAGGTAAGTGAATAAAAAAAAAGAAGACTCTCATCTTCCCTAGTCCAATCTCTACAACACCGGGGAAAGGGGCTGGTGACTCCACTTTACAGGTTGTAACCTGCAGGTTCAGAGTTGTTGAATGGCCTGTCCATTTACAAAGCCTGGGAGGACTCTGAATGGAGTGCTTGATGACAGCTGGCTGATAGAGCTTGTCATCAGGTCTGACAGCTGACAGAGGCATAAAGGCAGCTGGCCTAAGCCACACTGGGGCCAGCTCCTGTAGGTATAGGTACCCTGCCCAGCACTGCAAAGCTTACTCACGTAATAAAATCCAGGAAGCTGGCAAGTGGCTCATAGGCATGGTTCCTCATGTGGCGGAACTCCACCACCATCTTTTCCTTGAGCCGGTCATCGATGACTGACACTGTCAGAGGCGAGGCCTCGTTGGCCAGGAAGTTGCCGTAGTCTGTGCTCTGTAGGTGCAACTTCAAGTCTGAAATACAAGGGTAGAGGTTGAGGGCTCACCTTGCTAAACCTCTCCCAGTACCCCAAGTGCCCATCCCCACCCAATTCTACAGCCAAACTCTGCCCTGCAGTTGTGTCCTGCTGCTACCCTGACTTCTATCTCCCTGTTGGCATGCAGAATGAAGCCCTGGAAATTCACCAGACCCATCAGCCAGCCTACTGGCCCAGGAGTACAAGCACAAGTATAATAACTGTGCCACAAGATGACAAGATTGGGAAACCTCAACCCAAGGTACTATTCACATTGAGGTCCTAACCTAGAGCAGAATATATCATGGGCCCTGCCCTCTAGGGCCTCAGGGTTGGAAAGGCAAGCCACACAGACATATAAAAGAAAGATGACCAAAACTGTGGGAGTTCAGGGGAGTGGGCACCAAAATAGGCCTGAACAGAGAAGGCCATGCTAGGTTGGACCACAGCATAGGGCAGGGATGAGGAAGTGTATAGGAACACCAGCAGGGCAGTTATGAATAAAAAGGGACGCGGGTGAATGAGTGGCCTGAGGAGGTGATGGGTCTGGGAGGAGGCAGACAGGCTAATCCTAAGGGCTTTCCTAAGCTTTTAGGGACAGGGGTGAGGGAAAAGGAAGGACAGACAGAGTAGAAGGCCCCTGTGAGGCAGGACAGGTAGGAGTATGCAACAACCAGTCCCTTGACTTCTGTCTTTGCCCCTGCCCCCAATCTATTCTCCACACAGCAGCCAAAGCAATCTTTTATTGTTTGTTTCAGTATCAAGGATTGAACCCAGGGCCTTGCACATGAATTGTTCTACCACTAAACTAGATTATCAGCCCTATTTTTTTTTTAATCCTATGTTGAGACAGGGTTTCGCTAAATTGTCCAGACTAGCCTCTGACTTTTGATCCTCCTGCCCCAGTATCCCAGTAGCTAGGACTATAGGTGTGTGCCATCTCATGCTGCTATTTCACTTGGAGTGAGAGTCCCTGCCAGGGTGGGGCCCCTATGGGATCACCCCATCATTACTTCCTTGCCTCTTCCATTCTTCCCTTCCCCACTCACATCCTCCCCTCAGGGACCTTCCCTGTGCCCTAAGCCTAGAAAGGGGTGGCTAGGGGCTGGGAATGTAGCTCAGTGGCACAACGCCTGCTTGGCAAGCGTGAGGTCTTGAGTTCAATCCCCAGTACCCCCCCCCCAAATAAAAAGAAAAAAAGAAATGGGTGGCTGATTCACTCCCTTCCTTCGGGTCTTTCTTCAAACATCTCCTCTTCCAAGGCCTCTCCTCAGCCCCATAAATCTGTCCCTTCACCTGTGTCCTTTTGCTCTGCAGAACTATACTACTTAATGCAGGACATGTAAGTTCCATGAGGACAGGAACTTTGGGTCACTGTGGTACTCAAAGAGGCTAGAACAGAGTATTCTCTGGTGTGTGCTCAACCCCAGTAATCACTGCAGAGTGAACGAAAAATGAAAAGGTAGGTGAAGATGGCAGAGACTTACTGCTGGATTTTGCTAAGGGGGACACTAGGGTAGCAATGGCCATATGAAGGACAGTGATGAGAAGCCTGCTGAGGGATAACAGGAGGGGCTGTGCTTGTGGCCACTTCCACACACCCTCCTGACCAGGGGCCTGCATGGATGTTCTTGAGTCCCAGAGGGCCAATTTAATTCTGAACAGCTTAAAAAGAAGGGCAGGTGGTGCTTGCAACCCCTCTAACAGGATCAGGAGACCTCTGTGACACCAGTCCTGCTAAACCCCAACAAAAAAACAGTGTCCCCAGGTTACAGTCAGGGTGCTAAAGGGGAGGAAGGAGAGTACATGGAGGGAGGCTGTGTATGTGGCAGGACTGGATACTTTCACCTGCATGTAGGGAACAGCTGGACTTGTTCTCTGCAGCTCCCAGGCACTCAAGAGTGGACTTTACCCTCCTAAGGTCTGTACAGAGAACTTGTTGCCTTATTCTTACTCTGCTGTTCACATTTACTTTTCTCCCATGGCAACCCAAAAAGGAATAGGGGAGAAGGCAAGGCAGAGAAGGGAGACGCCACCAGTTCCAATCTACCCCATGGACCCTAATGCCTTTTTGCCTGGAAAATGTGACTATCCTCCTATGTTTTTACCTTGGAGCATCTAGAACAAGCCCCTTCTCTGGGTTCTATTCTTCCTTATCCTCACCAGTCTACTACTTCTGGAGTATGCACTGGTGACAGAAGGTGCCTTGCTCAGTAATACTTGGGTTGTTACAGCATTTGATTATTCAATTGGGGGAGGGGTATATTTTTGTTTTTTTAGAGACAAAGGCTGGTCTTGAACTCATTAGATAGCCCAGGCTGGCCTTGAACTTGCAATTTTCCTGCCTCAGCCCACCAAGTGTTAGAATTACAGGCATACACCATCATGTCCAGCTTCTACTGGCTTTTGTTTGGTTGGTTTTGGTTTTTTGTTTTGTTTTGGGTTTTTTGTTTGTTTTTTTGGTTCCGGGGATCAAACTTGGGACCTTGCGCTTACGAGGCAGGTGGCAGAACCAATCAGCTAAATCCTAGCCCCGTTTTGTTTTGTTTTTGAGACAGGGGCTTGCTATGTAGTTCAGGCTGGTCTTGAACTCGAAGTGATCCTATTCCCTCAGCCTCCCAAGTGCTGGGATTACAGGCATGTGCCACCACATCCAGCTACTTCTATTGGTTTTTAAAGAAAAATTCTTAACTGTAATTGATGGCTATTGCCATAGTAATATATTACCTATTCTTTTACCTTTAGAAATAAGCTTCAGAGCAAAAATGTAATCCTTGACTAGATTTCTCTTGTGCATAAGTCTTCTAATGTGGGCAGGGTGTTCAGGTTGAAGGCCACCAAGTGCCAAAACCTCCACCAGGGGATGCTGCAGAGTTGACAGCAGTTGGGAACTAAGGCTGGTCAGACTGTCTGGCAAGAGACTAAACTAGTACATTTATCCACATAGCCATTGTAGCCAGCTGAGAGCCTTTTTCAGCCAGATGCACATGGAGGGCCCAGGGCAATATCCATTCTTCTGGGTGGGGTCCCTGCTGCTAGTGGTCCCACTATTCCCTGGGACAGCTAGTCTGGCCCTGGACTTAGCCTGGCCACCCAATCCCTCCCACCCAAAGCACTGGAGCAACAGGCATTCCTAGACATCTATGCACACCCTAACCTTCTGAGCCTGGCACATGCTGCTGGGAGGCTTCCCCAGGTGAGCTGTCACCTCCCATTGACAGCTCTCCAGCAACACAGCACAAAACTTCCTCTGCCCCAGCCTCCACCTTTGCTCCACATGGCTTCTCTCCCTGAGAAGGCTAGCTTCTTTGTTGCCAAGCACTCTTTTTCCTCTCCAGACCCCAGTGACTCTCCATCCAATATACGGCGCTGATCAGGTGGGATTCCTCACCTAGATCCCTCTAACTGGAAACACACAGACCATGCAGTGGTCTCAGTCCTATACCAGGAGCAACTTTTGTGCTGGATCTCCCAGCCATTCCCATTTTACAGACTTAGCAATGAGAAATCAGATAGAACCAGAGCCTTGTCCACAGTCCCACCACTGAGGTATAAAAGGGCCAGGAGGAGGTGCAGGCCTGGTGGATTTGGTCCATTCCCAGCACTGGTTTCCTCCCCTCCCCTACTCTGTACTTCCTTGACCACATTCTTCCACAGCCCTCACCCCAGGACAGGCCTTTCAGGTATGGACTTAGCTCCCCAAACAATCATTAATCGCAGAAGAACTATTCAGCAGTGGCAAAGGAGCTGGCCTTGCAGGCCACCTGGACACTCACCACCATCTGTCAATCATAGGCCTAGATCAGTGATGGCATACCTATGGCATGCATGCCACAGCAGGCTGTTTGCATTATTGAAAGCTCTAAAAGGTTCTAGACTGGCCTAGACTGTCATGACTCAGGCAAGTCCTTCTAGTATCACTTGTGGTACTAGCTATTCCTGGAGAAGCTAGGAATGTGTGCATGTGAATGAGCAGGGCCAACCAGGGAGTTTGTTGCACGGCCTCAATCCCTGGGGCTTAGCATTGGCTTTAGAGCAAACACCCAGTGCCTTGGCTACTGCATTCTGCTGATGCTGCATCTGGGGAAGCCATGGCTCCAAGCACTGCTGGAATGCAGGCAGCCGGGTGGTTTCTGCCGGCGTTTGTCAGATCAGAGCAAACCCGGGAGACTCTACTGAGAATCCTGCCCAAGGCCAGAGGAGTCTTCCTTACCAGGAAACTCATTTTTTAAAAGCCCCCAGGGATGATGTCAAAGGACGGTTCCAGACCACTTTCCCTGGCCAAGCCCCACATCTCCCTGTGACCCAGGGAAAAGGGACAGTCTGCCAGCCAAAAAGGATACTTGGAGGCAGGCAGGCAGGCAGGCTGATCCCTCAGCTCGCCCACGAGGGGACCACACAAGGCTTCTAAACCAGCTTTGACACTGCTGCAGAAACCTGGCGCCCAGACTCTGGTTGGCAGCCCCAAGCTCTTCAGACAGGCCTGCCCAGGGCAAGGACAAGGCTGGTTAGGACGTCCTCTCCTCCCCAGCTTCCTGCTCTGAGGGATGTGGAGGAGGGTATGTGACTAGGGGCGGGATCTAAACACAGGAGGAGAAAGGCCTGGAGCTTGCAGAGAGCTTTGTGGGAGACCTGGCCACCCTGCCCTGGCCCAGCCCCCGAGGGCAGCCGATGACAGCAGAGACTCTAGGAAGACAGGCTAGTTCTGCTCTGGGCCCTGGGCTCAACAGCATCCATGATGACCCCTGAGAGGCCCAGATGTGCCCAGGCAACGCATGAGCAGTTTCTGGTTGGAGTAGACCCTGGGGAATCACTCTGGTCGGCCCACAAGCCCAGCTGTCTACCCTAAATCCTCCCATCAGTGGCCCGGCACCAAGAGTGTCTGGCCAGCTCGGGATCTCTCATAGCAAAAGACTTCCTAAGAGGGGCCGGGGATTTAGCTCAGTGGTTTTGCTGCCTGCTGTGCAAGTGCAAGGACCAGAGTTCGATCCCCGGTAC